TTCTCCCTCTCCCTCTCCCCCTGCTTGTGATCCTGCTCTCACTGTGTCTCTCTCTGTCAAATAAATAAATAAAATCTTTAAAAAAAAAAAAAAGAGAATACAGTTCACCACGCCAGTCCTGGTGTCTTGCTAAGAACTCTGTGCCCTGCTTTGCTGGATGGCACAGAGGTTAAGTGTCTGCCTTCGGCTCAGGTCATGGTGGCAATAAAATTTATAGGGTGGCAATAAAATTTCCTTATTTAGTATGTGTGCTTATGCTGCCTCTGTGGAAAGCAAGAGATACACATGTAATTAAATATCAGCATTTGGCAAATTCTCTCAAAATACCCAAAGACATTTGCAAAAGAGGGAAGCACAGGGGTCCGAGTAGAAACACAAAATTATCGATCCTTTATTTTCTGTCTGCAGCTACTTTTTACTCTCAACCTTCCCAGCTAGTACTGATGTATGTGTTTAGAGTTAATTTCTCAAAAGTCAGAGTGGATCATCCCCACCCACAATTTGGGTGTGTGAACCTTTGGGGAGCAGGCATTTACATAAAAGGCATACCGTTTGACGATCTTATCAAATCAATCCATCTTCTCTCTCTTCCAGGGGAGTGCTGCACACAGCAGGAGGGGCGGCTGGGCAGTGCAGAGCCTGGAATCCCCTGAGCAAGCAGTGTTTCAGCTGGCTGGACAGATCAAATAACATTTGGGCTGGTTAACAAAGGACACGCAAGTGGGAAGGTGTTGGAAGCTGGAGTGTGGAAATTTACCCAACGTTATTCCTTTGACAGAAAAGGGGACATGGTCTGAAAGATGCCGCATTCCTGCAGCCTGTCTGAGTTCAGCAGCACACAGTCTTGTGCAAGGTGGTGTGGAGGAGGGGGTGACAGAGGACATTGCCCCATCTGAAGCCCCTGGAGGATCCTGGCTTGGCAGCTGAGTGCCCCTCAGCGTTGGGACTTGAGGTGTAACTTGGTGTAGAGCCCAAGAAAGGTGGTTGGGTTTCTCTGGCTTTCTTCACCAATGCTCACCAGCCTGGTTTGGGTTGCAGAATCTAAGGGGAACTGGTAGAAAGCGGAGCTGGCAGAAGTAGAAAGAAGCCCCTGGAAGCCTCCAGAATCCATTGCTGGGATCACTTCATCCTGCTCAGGACACAGAGAATAGCTACCAAGCTGCTGGATGCTGTGACAGAACCGAGCTCTGGACCATCGTAAGTCAAGGAGCACAGCTCAGCAACAGCTCTGCATTTCAGCCGGAAGGAACATCTTTTAACAAAAGATTCAGAGAGGAGAGTTTCTGCATCTTTTACCTTGAGGTCCATATGGTAGAACACTTTACACTCACATAGATAATGAGACTGGTATTTCTCTCCAAGATGCTACCTTTGAAAAAAGCATGAGCCATTCTAAGCTTCGAGGAGAGTTCAGGGTCCAGAGGCGTTGGCGGACAGCCCTCCCGACGCAGGTTAAGAAAACAGTCTGAGCCTTCGCCTTCCACAGTTCAGCAAGCGTGGACATACGCCACTCCTTTCTCCAGAAAGCTGGTGGCAGTGCCCTCACCACGAGAAAAAGCAGCCCTCAGCTCTGGGACTCGACAGAATGAGGTGTGCTGGGGAAGCCGCTACCCAGGACGTGGCCGCCGTTGACTGCCCCTCCATCGCCCGGGCAGACCCTGACCACTGAGCCGACAATGGCTGAGAAGGGTGACTGCGTCGCCAGCGTCTATGGGTATGACCTTGGTGGGCGCTTTGTTGACTTCCAACCCCTGGGCTTCGGTGTCAATGGGCTGGTGCTGTCGGCCGTGGACAGCAGGGCCTGCCGGAAGGTGGCCGTGAAGAAGATCATCCTGAGCGACGCCCGCAGCATGAAGCACGCGCTCCGGGAGATCAAGATCATCCGGCGCCTGGACCATGACAACATCGTGAAGGTGTACGAGGTGCTGGGACCCAAGGGCACTGACCTGCAGGGCGAGCTGTTCAAGTTCAGCGTGGCCTACATCGTCCAGGAGCACATGGAGACCGACCTGGCACGTCTGCTGGAGCAGGGCACGCTGACGGAGGAACACGCAAAGCTGTTCATGTACCAGCTGCTCCGCGGGCTCAAGTACATCCACTCCGCCAATGTGCTGCACAGGGACCTGAAGCCTGCCAACATCTTCATCAGCACAGAGGACCTCGTGCTCAAGATCGGGGATTTCGGGTTGGCAAGGATTGTTGACCAGCATTATTCACACAAGGTATGTCTGGCTGGAATGGCTGGTATGGGTGGTCCACAGAACCCTCAAGAATGCTCGCGGTCATTCAAGAGGGTATTCCTAGCTCCACTGGAGTCAGGGGACTGGGGTCCGTACCTGGGGGAGGCTGGAGAGTGCGTGCTAGAAAGATCACTGGCCTGAAAAGCAGTTGTTGGCCAGGCAGGGGGTAGGAGCGGTGGCCTGATTCTTAGGCTTGGCTCCACCCCAGGGCCACAACCAAGAATTCCTAGCGGCACAAGATGGGGTTGGAGTAGGTGATCTTGAAGATTTCTTCCAGCTCTAAACTCTATGGCTTTTAAAACTGTGGTTGGTGAATTTGCCTCGAGCATCCTCTTATCTCTGCCATCCACATAATACCACCTCTCCCCGCTGTCTGCTCAGGACTCCCGGTGAGGCTCCCCAGCACACCAGCCTTATGCTCTAGTTGAGCTTGCCTCCTCCTCCCACTCTGTGTCCCGTTCTCTCTGTCTATGGACGGAGGGCACGAACAGTGAATCTGATAAACTAATCCTCAGTTTACACTGTTTAGCTAATGGCTTGGCTCTCCCAGGTCCCATGATGCTCTGGCCTCTCGGTGTCATACTAACACTACAGGTGTCTGGACAGTCCTGAGACCCCACGTGTCAGGGCTAAATGCCCTACCAGCTGCAGAGATCAGAGCTGACCCAGCCACGCTGATGGAGATACTGACACTTGTTCTCAAGGCCCCAGACCTCTTCTTAACTAATGCACTGCTCCCTTCAGGACCTGGGAATCCTTTGAAGTTCTCTTCCCCCACCCCACCCCTTGTTCCTGCCACTTTAGGGGAGCCTCTGAGCACCTCAGCCCGAGCACACGTCACCAGGCATCCCTCAACAGAGCTGTGGGGTGGGTGTGACTTCCATCCTTCTGCCAAAACCTTTGAGCCATGAATTTTTATTAGAGTGAAAACATTCCCTAGGAAGTAGGTCAGCCAAAGTGGCCGAGGTGGGTCATGAAAGGGGAGGGTGGCTCTGACCTTGAGCATGCTTCAGCTTTCTCTCTGAGGCCCCAGTCCTCTGCTGTCCCTTGCCACCTGATTTGCCCACAGCCAGAAAGTCACAGACTCATAGAAAGGCGCTGACCCGTCTGGTGCAGCCCCAGTGAGAGCGCACCCAGGGGAGGGGACAGCAGGGCTCCCTGTCCCACCCTCACTGCCTGGAGCTTGGGCTCCAGCCCAGATGTCAGACCCCAACTCAGCCCAACTGGCTCTAGCTCCTTAGTACCGCCTTCACCCCCCTCCTGCGGCCAGGCCATCTGTCAAAATGGATGGTTGACTTTGTAGGCAAGAGTATCCATGGTAAAAATAATAATAATAATAATAATAATAATGCCTTTCTGTCTTCCTAATACCCTTTGCCGTTTGTACCTTCACTTTCTTCTAAGAAGCAATGACTCCAAACAATCGAACTGAAGGTTTTAACCCAAATCAATTCTTATTTGGTGAAAGGACCAGAGAATCCATGACACTTACTTCTGGGATGCACAAGACCACTTTCTGAATTGGAATAATCCAGTCCATTCGGGAGTAAAAATAGGACCCCCCCTTGATGAAAGGCTCTGATTAAGTGACGTGTTCTAGGGAAAGTGCTCTGAACAGCACGCAGGAGATCTTCTCTAAAGTCAGGAAGGGTGATTTGTTGGGGTGAAGATTGGCTGCCCTAACAATTCTTAGAAGGTGTGTGGTGTGAGGAAGTGAGGAGGCAGGGGTCCAGGCTCCCTTCTGACAGTGCTGGCCAGGGACGTGGGCAGTCACTTGCCCTCTGAGAGCCTTGGTTTCCCCATCTTTGACAGGGATGGTGGTAGATGCCGTCTGCCCACTGGCTTGTGGTTACAAATCAAAATGGAGCATGAATGTAAAGCCCCCTTGGAAAGTAGTAGGGAGCCCATCCACTTATGTAATGAGTGTCTGCTGAGCACCTTGGGCCCCAGCCCGGGTTCCCTGGCCACTGACTGTAAGTGGCTGCTCTCCTATCCCTCGGGGTGGGAAGACACCTCTCTGGTTGGGACTCTCATGTTCCTGATGCAGAAGAATTTAGGTGTTCTGACTTACTCTTCTTAGAATCTCTTCAATAAAATAAGCTGTGGGAAGTTAAAAATAAAATCACTGGGGCCAGTTGTGAGCCCAGTCGGTGTTCGCGTGAGGCCTTCTCGCGTCCTAATGCAAGGTCTTTCTAGGCACCATCGCCTTCTGGAAGGCTTGGTGTTCCCCAGTTGGAATTAGTCTTTCCTTCTTCTGAATTCCCCTGTTGGTTCTTCCCCAGCCCATAACCTGAATCTTCTAGCATCTACCATTCTCTGCTCTGTCTTATGGGTATTTTTGTCTGCATCTTCTGTGCTCCCTTAAGCTGAGAGGCCCTTGGTTCTTGAGGGCATGTCGTGTTCATCTTATCTTCCCCAGGGAGTCTGATCACTGTGCCTGAAACATGGCCCAGTTGATCTTGTTGTGACTGTCTTGAACAGATGGGCAAATAGTCATTTACCAGCACATTACAGATAGGAAGCTAGTTGGGTTCATTGATCTCATGTGGTTAGAGGGTTTGACTCTCAGAAAGAGAGCACATAATTCTTCCAGCTGGTGGGTTGGTCGGGGTCAGATGTGTGCATCTGCTCTCCCCTTTGTGTGTGGAGGGTGATGTCTACATGGGAGCTGCTCTAAACCTGACCCCTCCTGAAGTTCTGTGGATCCTGTACTCACCTTGAAGAAGATCGTGCTCACCTGGGCCATGGCCAGCACCTATGTGTGGGTTATAAAATGGCACTCCTTTTTTTTCATGCTGATTGAGCCCAGTGCCAGGGACAGACTTTGTGCCCTGACTGGTGGCTGGACTTGGCCCCTTGGCTGAGCACCACCCACCCGGGTCTCACTGTCCTCATTGTGACTTCCTCCTGGGTAGATAGTGAGCCTCCTTCACTTCCACATCTCCTCATCTACAACAGGGCCTGCCAGAGGGTAGTGTCCACTGAGTTCACCTCAGCATCACCTTGTCCATCCCCTTCACTTCACAGATGACAAAACCAGGGCCTAGGAAGGGGAGGAGACCCACTCAAGATCTCACGATGAGTGGCCACCACACACGGTTCAACTCCACGCCCACTGGCTTTCCTATGCCTCTCTTCTCGGTTGTCTTCTGTCAAACACTGTCATTGTTCCCATTCTGCTGATTTCACAGGATTCTTGTTAGTCACGTGGAGGATGTTTGATCAAAGTGCTTTCAAAGATGTACGAAGGGCAAAATCACTAACAGAACTATTTGCCCAGTAGATGCCATAATAATATCACTCAGACATTCAGGTATCGATTTGCCCTCCCCTGAAATACAGAACCAGCTCCTGACAGGGCCAGAGGTGAGTCATGAGGCCCCACCTGAAGGGTGGCTTCCCAGCCTCCGCTCCTGGGATGAACCCTTCCTGCCCACCTCCTCGGCCAGCCCGCTAAGGAGTTCCTTGTTGTTTGAGTCAAGAAGAGGCTGCTGAGGGGTCAGAGCTTGTTTTCCTTTGAATTTGTCCTATTAGGAACTAGAGGATCTCCGAAGAGGGGGGAAAAATGTTGTTTAAGACTTGGCTGAGTCCTGCGTAAATTCTAAGTGGTGTCAGGAGCCCCTGAGAGCCCAAGGTACGCTGACAGCCAGATTAGCTGCGTGAACACACTCTCCTCGTGGAGGGGCCCCCCGTGGCTGAGGGGAGGAGCCCCCTCTCCTCGCTGGGGCTGCCAGTAGGCTTGCCTTTTCTCTGGGGTAGCAGGCAGAAGACACCAGGAAAGAGAGCAAGAGCCAGAGGCCCAGCAGAATTTGGACAGCCAACGGCTCTTGTGTTTTGGTGGATCCCTTGAGAAAGTCTAAGTTTGTTCGGCTGGCCTGGCTTTGGTCCCTTGACCCCTTTCTGTTTCAGAGCCCTCTGTCTTCATACCGCATTCCCTATCAGGATGCATTCACACTTTACCTACCTATCTCATGAAGATGCCTTAGAAATTAATAGGGCAGTGATTGATTCTCAAAGTGCTGGAGCAGAGCGTCAACTTCACCCCGGGGCCTTGTTAGAGATGCAGAGTCTCTGGTTCCATCTCAGGCCTGCCCGATCAGAAACTCAGGGTGGGGCCCAGCAAGCCGGGTCTTAACAAGCCTCCAGGTGAATCTGATACTGGTCAACTTTCTAGAACCACTGATCTGAAGACCCGGAACAGCTTGTCTATGGACAGAATGCTGATGCTCCTGACATGTTTGCTGGTGCTTGAAGCCGTGGTTCTCAGCCTTCAGCACCGTGAAGAAGGCTAAGAACGCCCAGATAGCGGGGTTGTGTTTGAAGCAGCTACTTTAACTAACTGGGGTTGTTCATGGCGGGGATGTCGTGCCAGGGAATGGGGAAGGTTGTTTTCGGCAGGATGACTTTTTAGGGTCTCCATCACATCACATGGGAAGCTGCCTGGCCTGTTCACCAGGTTTGGTAGAAAGCCACACAAACCAGGGACCTCCACCAGAAGGAGCACTGGTTCTGTTTAGGTGTGATTTTCACAATAGTCAGGTGATAGGAACACAATTTTAGAAAACATGTACTTTTCATTCTGGTGTAAACTACTTGACCTGAGGTAATTTCACGACAGACACTGGCTTCACAGATCAGTGAGACGGAGTGTTGATTGAGGGCTCGGCAGATTACCATAGTTCGTTAGGGCTTGTGGTTCCAGGTCCCAGAGGAGGCAGAAAGGTGCATGATGTTGAACACACACAGCCAGCTTCCGAAGGCTCTGCATGGAGCTTCGGTCGGCAGTGTTTATGCTGGTTTAATCATGTTCATCAACCTCCCCTCCTCCTCTCCTGGCCACTGCCTTCCCTTGATGGCTTCTTGTCTGTCTAGGCCAATATAACCTCCCCCTGTCTACCTGGGCAGACACACAGAAAGCCCCCCCTAAAGCCCAGATTCCCTTGAAACAGAACCTCAGAGGAGGAATGCTCATTTCTGTGCCT